GGGGGGGGGGGGGGGGGGGGTGCGAAATCAGTACACTGAGAGAACAATGAGAGAGATCTCGAACAAGTCTTGAAAAATTTACTTCTCCCAAGAAAAACGGAGAACATTTTCTTGACACAAGTCATCAAATGGAGGTTTTGCATGGGACAGTTGAATATTTACTTGTGCTGAGAAAATTTGTTTCTCACAAGTAAATTTTTTTCTCTTGCTTGTGCCAAGAAAATAGCTTTTTGAAAATTATTAAAAGAGGATTTTTTTGTGCCAAACATGCAGAGCGCCGGAGTGAACAATTCTTGTCGCAAAAATAGATTTTGTAGTTGAAAAAAATTGCATTCTCTGTACACGCGAGAAATGTCATTTCTAGCACTACTGCTTCGTTATTCGATACTGTCATGCGTATTTTTCAGTGCCAAGAAAAATCTTTGTTTTAGGCGGGACAAGGGATAGTAGTTTTTCGTTTCGGCTGTCTAATAATCACAGACAAGAAATGAATCCTTAAGGATGTACTACACCCTTTCGGCCAAAATTCACGTTTTTTGAATTTTTCTGGCAAATTATTGATCGGATTGATGCGAAATAATATACCGTTTTTGTGTTTTATCATTACTGACTGACTCACGAAGTTTCATGGTAGTGCAATCATTTTCCTGCATTTTTTCTAAAGTTTTGTGATATTGGATTATGTGTAGGAATACTCAATAAAAACACATTAGTTTTATTCTTCAAAGTAAAACTCTTTAATGATCGCACGCAGAAGGTATATCTTTCTCCAACGAAGTCTCTAGGACGACTAACTAAAAGTCATGAGAGTTTTCACTCTCTGGACCCATTTGACAAAAGGCCCTTGTTTCAATTTTCTTCAGCCTCTCCTTTGTGACTCACCATGAGGACTGTTTTTCTTCACGTCTCTATTTTCTAAGAAAAGCCATAAATGTCACCCTGAGTGTTTGGGTGGAAAAGAGAAAATGTTTAACTAAACTAAGAAATTAATTTTTGTATTCAGGCATGAATTCCAACATGTGAACTTCTGGAAAGTTCTAGGAAAAACGCAGGAAAATATTGCACGATCATGAAATTTTGTGAGTCATTAAGTAATGATAAAATGCAAAAACGGTATATTTTTTCACGTCAATCCAATCAACAATTTGCAATACATCCTTAAATGAAACAATAATAATGATATGATAGCAATCTTGTAACTTGGGGATAAATTATTTGTTGATAAATTTTCCTCTGTGTGAGATATTTTCATCCTGAAAAGGCACCGTCTGGTGTGAATTATCCGCCTGTTGAGCCAAATATTTCGTTGCTGTCAAAAGCAGAGCAATTGTTCATGTTTGACACTTTCAAATTCGAACCAAAGAAATTCTTTTTTGGCAATTTTCAACTAGCGATTTTGTTGGCCCAAACAAGACTTGTTTGACAATGTGTTTGTTTTTCTCTCAGTGTAGTGAAGTGGTCAAACGGTTTAAGTCAATTCCATTCTAGCGTCACTTCTCGATAAATATCTCGAATTCTAAAGGAGTTGGCAAAATTTTTCTGAATATCTTTTTTGCAAAGAAAAGTGAGGACTGTCGAAAAAGATCTTACAAAAATTTCGCTATTTTTCTTAAATTCCGAGTTATTCAACAAAAACTTAACTGGGAGCTAAGTCGACTTGAACCGATTGACCACTTCACTACTGAAATGTTTCTTTGGTTGTTTACCTTCGACGTGAACGGATTGGTTGTTTTTAGTGGGTGGATGTTAGTGTCGAATCGGTTTTCGGGGGATTGAGTGCCTATCGGTTGCGTTGAATTCCAATCGATTTGGAGAGTAGACGAATATTCAGGTTTTGAGATTATCGTGTGTTTATTGGTCTTGATTAGCGGCTTTGATTTCGCGTTTAGTCGAACTGAAAAAGTTTGCAATTATTCTAGAATAATTCATTGAGTGTTAGTTTTTAATATCCCTTTATGCCGCATAATATTCCATGTCATCCCTCACAATTTCTAGCAATTACATTCGTAAATCAATCTATCCAAGAATTTCAGAATTATTTCAGTAGCGAAGTGGTAAACCGCTCCAAGTCCATTTCGACTATTGATCAGTTTTTAGTGAATATCACGGAATCGAAAAGAGATAGCTCAATTTTTGTCAAAACCTGTTTTATAGCACTCAATTTGCTCTAGAAAAAAGGTTATTACGAAAATTTCATTATCTCCTTTAAATTTCGAGATATTCTTCAAAAACCCAACTAAGAGATGAGTCGACTCTGAGGGAGATAACAAAATTTTCCCAACGACCTTTTTTGTAGAGCGAATTAAGGGGCACAAAAATGTTGCCATCTCCCCTAGATTCCGAGATATTCATTGAAAACTGGCCAACAGTCAAAATCTACTTGAACCGTTTCACCGCACGGAGAGAAATTGCGGAACTCCCAGTTCGCTCACCGATTACGGAATCGACTCAGAAAATTAAAGTGACGGTATCCTAATTTTTCACAGGAGACTCAGCTAAAAATTACGAAATACTGGAAAAATTCCGTGATTTTACGTAAAAATTACGCGACAGTTCCGTAAAATTTCCTGCAACCACATTGCGCTCCGGAATAACGCAAGACATACGCAATTTTTACTGGCAATTTTTCCCCTCCAAATTTCAGCCAATAGAATTCCACCCCTCGACGTCACGTGGTACAACCTACAGAGTGTTCAACTGATAATTTTTTTTTCGTACTTCGCACTCGCCATTTTTTACCCTGAAAAACTGGACTCCTTTGTTCGTTTGCAGCGAACACATCGTGAAATACCCGATAATTTTGAAGCTCTCCTGGCATTACATACAAATATTTCTCTCCGTGCGCCACCAAATCTTCATCGATTTTCCTTTATTTTGTTCTCCCCCAGATCTCGAGATAATCAACTTGCAACCACAGTCCACCCCCGAACATATCCCGATATATCCACGAAATCCTCGATACAACGATCACCCGAGCCCAAATAAAAACATCCTCTACCTTTTCCAATCACATTCCCCTCCGCCCCCTCTCCCCCCACCACTCCCAAAAATATTCTCAGTACCCACGAGTGACTCAGCCCCTAATATTAGGTGAGGCCGGCCGAAAAACCAAAACAAATAAACCTCCCAAAAAAGACCCTCTCCCCCCACCATGAATCCCCTCCCCCCCTCCCATGAAAACCCCCTCGACCTCCCGAAAGCGCCGCCAGGCTCCCCGTGTGAGTAAACGCCGAGGAATTTTCGGTGCGTCGGTACACTACACAACCGGCAGGCGAACAGGTGTATCCACGCATCCCACACCTGCTCCCGTTCCTCGATCCCTCACCCGATTTCCCGATCGATCCCCATCGTCCTCTCTAGGGGTCATTCTTACCTTCCCAGTGTCCAGGCTCTGTTTATTTACATCCACTCCGAATTCTATCCGTTATCCTCACGCGGCGGCGGAAGGGCCGCGACGGGGAGGGGGGGGAGAGGGAGGGATTGTCAGGGCG